CAAACATTTTCAAACCAAAAAGAGTAAATATGTTTAACAACACTTGCATTTGACTTACAAATTGTTTATGGACACTTTCATAATGCGGATACAGGTAGGCAGCGTCTCGCATATATCGCTCTAGCCATAAAATGCCGAAACCACAAGCCTACTGCACCTCTATCTCTATCGGTGGGAGGTAGAAAATGTGTACTTCCTGTCGTCAAACGCTCCAAGCACATGCATACAAGAGGACCATAATCCCCTCTGGCTTCCTTCGTTTGTTGTGGCGCGGTCTCGTCTCTGATAACTGTAACATTGAACTTCTTTGGCTTCTTGTTTCCAGACTTAGTCCAATAATCAATTGCATCCAAGAATTTAGCCAATGAGAGCTCCATCCCTTAATCATATCTCTCAAATCAGACATGATATGTAGTTTATCATGGCATATACTATTGTCTTTAGGGATGGGAGCTGAAGCTCGACGAGAAGCCAATGAGTACGGTCCAAAACAAGGATAAACACCTGCATCGAAATGTAATAATTCAAATTGCGCACTTATTATACACCCTTAAAATATTTAAACAAATATACTAACCTTATCGACCTCCACCATGCAGGATAAAGTTTAGCTTGTCCATTAGCCAACACATATTCCTGTCGTTGATTCTTCAAGTGAACTACGTGAAAAGACGTCGCATAATTGTATGTCAGACATGATATGTAGTTTATCATGGCATATACTATTGTCTTTAGGGATGGGAGCTGAAGCTCGACGAGAAGCCAATGAGTACGGTCCAAAACAAGGATAAACACCTGCATCGAAATGTAATAATTCAAATTGCGCACTTATTATACACCCTTAAAATATTTAAACAAATATACTAACCTTATCGACCTCCACCATGCAGGATAAAGTTTAGCTTGTCCATTAGCCAACACATATGATTCCTGTCGTTGATTCTTCAAGTGAACTACGTGAAAAGACATCGCATAATTGTATGTCGCGTTTTTTTAATATTTTTCTTCAATTTCCTTACAATTAGAAGACGTGTCACCCATGCCTCAATATGTTGTTTACAAAAAAAAGACATATATTAGTGAATTACATAAATTTTAAAAAAAATTAATCAAACTGAAATATAAGAAATATAATACTTACCCCCCCATCGAAATAGCCGTTGTCTTCAACCCCTAATAATACACCCCACCAAGACTGTCAATCAACAAATGCATATCATCGAGTTTGTATATGTCAGCGTAACACCCTGGCTCCGCTCATGTAGAAAAATCAACTGCGGTCTTAGCCCAAAGGGTATTATCCAGAATTATTTCCGGTAGTTGTTTCCTCTCCACTTCATCTGCCGGAATGGTACTGGCCGGTAACTTATAAGCCACAGTCACCCATCATGTCCGCACGTGAGGGGGCTTCTCAATAATTCGATATATTACGCCGTGTGAATCGGGCTCTAGAATGTTGGGAGGGACCTCTTCAACGATGACAGTGGCCTCTTGAACGGGGGAGGGGACTCTTGAGGGATGATAGGGGCCTCTTGAACATAGGGAGGCTCTTGATGCAGAGTGGGTTTTTTTTTTACGGATTCTTCGACTATTGGGGTGAACGGACGTAATGGCACGTGCACGCCGTCTGATGCGTGAACTCCGTCTGGCAAGAAAAACCGACGTAGAGCATCCACCTTAGCGGGCCGCTAAAAATAAATTAATACATAAATCAGTAAAAAACACATGATATTAAACAGTGAACAAAGACAAATATATTTCAAACTTGCACGGTATTCACCCAAGTCATTATTATATCATTGTTCACAAAATGCATCAGATAACATTCCATAAGTAAGCACTTATATAACATTTAAAATGACAACATATAGGTTTAGTGTAGGTTCAATGACAACATAAAGAGTAGTTTTTATTCTTGAAACTTAAATTTTCAACACTGTGAAGTTAGTATTTGTCTTTTGGTTGAAGTAATGCAATTCATTCAAGTTTCAATTTGCAGAAGAAGAATAGAATCTGAAACTTAAAATCGCAACGCAAAATGACTATGCAATGCGAAAATGACTATCGCAATGCGAAAATGACTATCGCAATGCGATTCTTTCGTTGCGATAGTCATTTTCGCATTGCGATTCTCTCGTTGCGATAGTCATTTTCGCGTTGCGATAGTCATTTTCGCATTGCGATAGTAAACTATTCTTCTTCTGTAAATTGAAACTTGAATGAATTGCATTACTTCAACCAAAAGACAACCAAAAATAAATACTAACTTCACAGGGTTAAAGAATAAACAGTTAAACAGTATTGGCAGCAACCGAATGAATTTACTAAGCAATCTAAGTAAAATTACGAGTAAATTTATCAAGTTAAATATGAAAAATATTAAACTTACCTCGTTGCGTAGAGTATGAACCTCGTTCTGCAACGATGCTACAATCTCACGTAGAGCTGCTACCTCACCACGTAAAGTAGACACCTCAACACGCCATGCACCATTGTCATCGCGTAAAGTACCGACCTCCTCACGCAAGGCATTGACCTCATTACGTAACTCCCCTAACTCATCCCGTGGAGGTGGAGAACAGGGAGATAAACGTCGTGGCATCTTTTTCGGTCGCCTATCATGAGGTGATGGTGGAGAAGAGGCTCGATGATGTGTCAGAATATGTGATGACTCTCATTGTGGAGGTGTATATTCGGGTCGATCAGGTGATGGCTCTGGGTGAGGTGATGGCTCTCAAAGTGGTGGTTGCTCATCATCCGTTCCATCAAAAAAAAGCTTACTAGCTTGCCACCAATCAGTGGCAAGCTCAGCTTCCGTGGGTGTCAGCCTCTATAATGGAGTGTTGGCCTCCTAACAATATAAAAGCTCAAACAAAGTTAAACGTGTACTAGTAATAACTTGTTTATAAACATATGGTAGTATTTGTGTTAACTTACATTATTTATTGTAGTATACGGTAGTAAATCTTTCCATTGCTGCAAGGACCGTTTCCTCTTCCAGGAAATAGCCCTAGGAATATCATTAGAAGTTTTTAATGCATATGTCCGCATGGCGGGAAAGGCCTCAAATATCCAAATCTACAAACAATATAATAACAAACATTAGTAATTGTTAAAGAATTAATTATAATTTTGGAAACATTATATAAATTATTACCTTAAAGGCCCAAATAAAGCCTGACAAAGTGTATTTGGAACCATCGCCACGCAAACTTTTCTGATCATTAAAGGCAGACGACAACTTATTCCATGTAGCTCTCCATAGATATGAACCCCACGGAAACATGTTCCATGCATTAAGGTCCTCTACCAATTTAATTAGATCATTAGGAATAGGTTGTCGGGCCTCTCTGCCTAAAAAGTCGGCTTGCAAAAGTATTAGAAGGCATACTCGAACAACATCGACGTCATCCATCTGAGTAAAACCATTTCTTATTCAATAATCTCGTCAAGTCTTCCACGTGTAAATTCGACTTCTCCGTTGACTGCTTAGGAAAAACCCGGGAAAACCATGATAGGCGGGTAATATGTCTAGTGTATCGATCTACATCATCGTGTCCGAAGCGTAGACCGATGATTAAGCAAAACTCCTCCCGCCCAAAACACGTATAAGCCGATGGAAAATCAAACCATATCTCTTCATCACGACGTTGTATAGTCTCTGGTAGATCGCTAGTCATGGTTTGAAGAAACAGATGGGTCAACATAGCATCTCCACCCGGATGTTGTACTTTCAGCCATGGCCCGAAGTAAGTATCCTCAAATATTTTTCTTTGTGCAGGTGAAAGCTTCGACGCAATTGTTTTGGCCAGGCTTACTTTATTTCTTAAGGTCAATTGAGCCGAATAAAAGTTCTGCAAAAACAATAAACATACCAATTTAGATATACCAAAAACTACACTGTGAAGATATGAACAATAAACATAAAGAGTAGTAGTTTATTCTTCAAACTTAAATTTGCAACACTGTGAATTTAGTATTTGTTTTTTGGTTGAAGTTGAGAAACTTTAAATCGCGAAATAAATCGCAACAAATATCGCAAAATGACTATCGCAACGCAAAATGAAATCGCATTGCGATTCTCTCGTTGCGATAGTCAAATTCGCATTGCGATAGTCATTTTGCGTTGCGATTCACTCGTTGCGATAGTCATTCTCGGTTTCAATACTAAAATTGAAAGAAACTTGAATGGATTGCATTACTTCAACCAAAAGACAAAACAAAGACAAATACTAACTTCACAGGGTTAAAGACTAAACAGTTTAGCAGTATTGGCAGCAATCGAATGAATATAATAAGCAATCTAAGTGAAATGGTTAATCTATTATTGAAAACACCAGTAAACTTATCATCAATTTCAATATGAAAAACCTAATAATAATGCAAAAATTCAAAATAAAATAATTAAAAAACTAACCATCGGTGGTTGATTTGGTTGATTTTCCATTTCTGACCGTGAATGATTTCGCCGGAGATGGAAACTGTTATCGTCGTGGGGACTGATTTCGTCGGAGATGGGGACGGATATCGCCTTAGAGAGTGAGAGATGGAGATGAGACTGAGTTGTGATTTAGGGTTTTAGGTTATGAGTTGCGATTACGGGATATACTGTGGACGGTTCAGTGTTCCGATATTAATATATTCGTGTTTGGAATTTGAAAAAAAAATACGCGTTAATATGAATGACGATATAAATCGCATTGCGATAGTCATATTCGCATTGCGATTTACGTATTCGCATTGCGATTTACGTATTCGTATTACGATTTACGTAATCGCATTGCGATTTACGTATTCGCATTACGATTTACGTATCACATTGCGAATCTGGAAACTGATTTGCGATACCGGAGATCGCGTTGCGAATTATCGATCGCATTACGATTTATTGGTCATTTTGTAAATCAAAAAAAAATTAATTAAAATCGTATTTATAAGACATTTTTTGTCACTGAGATTATTTTCTCAATAAAATGTTGCACCCTTCCTCCATTCGGTCTGCATCGGTTCAATTCTAAAACCCATTTTCTCATCTTCCTCTCCGCAAGTTCACACCAGAAAATACTAGGGCTGTTTAGCGAACAAAGCTGTTCATTTTACTAACCTTTTTTCTTCCTTATTTTTTCCTCCTGGTTTTCTGATAGTTTTTTGAATTTGATTAGCTGAATTGCGAATAGCGAACAGCGAGAGAATTGAGGGACGACGAAGCCTCGATAGCCGTACGATTGAGATTCTCTTTACTTTTTAATCTGATTTAGAGGGTTAGCGACTGATAATCCTTATGATAATCTGAAAATTTTCTTTTCCTTTCACTCTGTTACTGAACTGTTCGTAGTAGGGGGAAAAAGAGAGAACCTGTTTTTTTAGGGGGTTTGTTGAAGGGATATGTATATTTTAGGGTTCTAATTTTCTGGTTATTTACAATATTGGGTCTAAGTTCTTCATTCAAAGCCGTCTCGTTTTTTACTTTCTTGTTGAAAGGATAGAATTGTCATCTTAGATATGTGGAGGTCTTGGTCTTCTTAGTTTGTTCTTGTCTGGTTTTGAAGAACTCTAGAAGCAAATCTGATTTAGATGGTTAGCGACTGATAATCCTATGATAATCTGAGAATTTTCTTTTCCTTTCACTCTGTTACTGAACTGTTCGTAGTAGGGGAAAAAAAGAGAGAACCTGGTTTTTTAGAGGGTTTGTTGAAGCCTGAAGGGATATGTATATTTTAGGGTTCTAATTTTCTGGTTATTTACGATATTGGGTCTAAATTCTTCATTCAAAGCCGTCTCGTTTTGTACTTTCTTGTTGAAAGGATAGAATTGTCATCTTAGATATGTGGAGGTCTTGGTCTTCTTAGTTTGTTCTTGTCTGGTTTTGAAGAACTCTAGAAGCAACCCTTATATTGAAATTGGAATAGGAATATAAAGTGGGAAAATAACCGGGTAATTTGAATTGCAGAAGTTCTTGTTTAGAGAGTTACCATTTTTTAAAAGAATTCTTGGAAAATCCTCAAGTATATTTTATTACTCAGCAATGCCACTATTATAGTTTCTTTGAATTATTGACTTGATTGTCTTGTTTGATAATCTTGAAAGTGTATATTGTATAGGAGGAACACGAAGGACAAACTTAGTTACAGTCTAAAGAAAAGAATTCTGAAATTGAGAAATTTTGGTTTAGTTGTTAGAAACTTTGAAGTTCATGTTAAGGTATTTGATGGTTGAAACTGGATTAAAGGGAACATAACATTTTTGGAAATTGAGAAGTTTAACCTGGAAATAGAGAAACAGAACTTGAATTTTTTCTTTATGATCATGTTTTGTGAGAGTTATGGAAAGAAATGAGCCTTCATTGATACCGGAATGGTTGAAGAGCGGGGCAAGTCTTACTGGTAGTGGCAATTCAATTCACCAATTTACATCCTCATCTTCACATTCAGGTGATTTTAGTTTATATCTTCAGGGTTTATTATTTCTTTCTTGCATTTATGGCATTGATAAATCTCTGTTGGTTGATATCCTTAGGAGAGATTTGATGATATTATTTCAAGGATGCATATATCACTCAAAGTGTTATAGTACATACCCATTTTTCAAAATGCGCATCTTGATTTTGCTCGGAAAAGGGAACTTTATTTTAAACTTTTTAAGTTTCTTGACTTTCTTCTTTATTTTACTTTTAGAGGTATGTCTCTAGGATTTTTTTTTCTATGTAGTTGTCTGCAACTTCATTTTGCTTGAAAAAGAGTACATTATTGTAATTATTTTAAAGTTTCTTCTTTATTTTTATTTAGAGGTGTGTCTAAGAGTTGATTTTTTTCTCTTTGTAGTTACCTGCAACTTGTTTGCCTATTTTCTGATAGCATTGTTGATAGTTAGCGAAATTTGAAATTTATCTTCTTGTAATTCTTTACAAGAAAAATTGAAAATAAATTTATATATTCTAATCTTTGATTCTTTTTTTCCCAATAGAAAATAATTCTGCATTGAAGCATGCCAGAAATAAGTTGGCTGTTGACAATGATAGTGATATAGGTTGGGCATCTGTTTTGGATAGGGCCTTTCATGTTTATTCTAGGAGGAGTTCTAGTAGAAAAGGATCTTCTGGCTCACTGGCTTATAGCAATTTTGCTAAAGGCAACCGTGAAAGGGATTGGGAAAAATTTACTAATGGTTATCATGACCGAAGAATGCTGTTCTCAGTGACCATAGGAACCGAAACTATTTTGATTCTCTTGATAACCTGTTGCCTAGCATATCTGAGAAGGATGTCTTACGGCGTTCACAGTCTATGATAACTGGCAAGCACAGTGACACATGGCCAGGGAAAGCAACAAATGAATCTATTAGCAACAGAAAAAGCCATCATGACAGTGGTAATGGTGAGATTAGCACAGCTATCCATGATAAATCTGCATTTGAACATGATTTTCCTTCGCTTGGTGCTGAAGAAAGACCAGTGGGGTCTGAAATAGGAAGAATTTCGTCTCCTGGCTTGAGTAATAAATTTGCTTTCGAACATGATTTGCCTTCACTTGGTGCTGAAGAAAGACAACTTGGGTCTGAAGTAGGAAGAGTTTCATTTCCTGGTTTGAGTAATCCTGGGCAGAGCTTTCTCTTGGGGATCACACCTGGCACTGGCAGTTATGGCAGGACATCAGCTCTTGCAGACATTTCTGTGGGTGTGGGAAGCAGTGGCAGAGGTGTGGCAGTTGCTTCACAAAATGCTTCTGCAGGCTCAACTCCAATTACAACGATGAGCCTTAATATGGCTGAAGCAGTGGCTCAGGGGCCTTCTCGTGCTCGCACACCTCCCATGGTAAGCAATTCTTCTGTACTTAGTTTATTCACTAGAAATATATGAGTGCTGAAATAAGATCTGATGTGTTCTTTCTTCTAGTTAAATGTTGAAACTCAAAGGCTCGAGGAGCTGGCTATCAAACAGTCGAGGCAACTAATTCCCTTGGTGACAATATCAACGCCTAAAAGTTTGGTGAGCTATTACTGTTAGCTTCTTCTTCTTTTTGTATGTTTTCTAATTATAAGTACACATTGGGTTATATGCTGGTGGGAGGAGAGGTGGCATGGGTTCGGTCAAGGTATTGTAAATTATTTTTTTACTGAACAGAGATGAAGTGACTGCAAAGGGAATAAGGGGGTAAATGGAGATATTTGGTTTATACTTTATACTGTGCTAGAGATCTTATTCTAATTTTCTTTACAAAACTAGATTATGAAGTCAACGACAACTTAAGTGCTGAGTTTTTTGCTTATTGAATTTATAATAAGATTTTTAAGGTTGGTTATTTTTCTTTTATGTCTGTTTGAGTATTGCTTTCTGTTGTTTTCCAATAGGTGGTCAGTCCTTCAGAGAAATCAAAACCTAAAGTTGGACAGCAGCTTCATCCTTCAATCTCTTTTAACTCCACACATGGTGGAACTTCCAGATCTGACAGTATAAAAGTTTCCAATGAGAGCAGGCTTTGCATACTCAAACCATCTCGAGAATCAAATGGTGTTTCCTTAGTGAACAAAAAAGATAACTTGAGTCCTACTAATGGGAGCAGCAAACTTGTGAATAGTCTACTAAGCGTCACTCCTCCAGCTGCTGCATCTGCTCCCTTTAGGAGTTCAGGCAACAGCCCCAGGTCTGCCACTGCTGAGCATAATCAGATTCAGTTGCGGTTAACCATGGAGAAGAGAGCAACTGCTCAAGCCCAGAGTAGGAATGACTTCTTCAACCTTCTAAAGAAGAAATCTACCACGAACTCTGCTTCTTCCATCCTTGATCCCAGCCCTGCTGTGTCGCGACCTGTCTCCGAGAAGCCTGATGAACTTGGCCCTGAAGATTCCTGCTCTTCCGATTCTCTAATGGATGTGGCCGTTCTATCACTAGAAATGTCAAATGCTGACTTGCTAACTGACAATAGGAGTGAAATAGCCCTGAATGGAGATGCTTATACCGAGCCTCGTCACTGTCCTAGCAATGGGGATGGGCATTCAAGGCATGATGTCTTCCTTTATCCTGATGTGGAAGAGGCTGCATTTTTACGTTCCCTTGGTTGGGAAGAGAAAGCTGAAGATGATGATGGTCTTACAGAAGAGGAGATTAATTCCTTTCTCGAGCAGGTAGCTACTCCAAAGTCGAGGTTTCTATGGAATTAGATTCTGCAATTCTTTGTTCACTCATGGTGAAATCTCGTGTTGCATCTCCTAAAAGGTTTTTTGCAATTGTTTTTCCCTGCAGTACTCTAAATTGAAACCGTCTGCAAAACTTCTCAAACGAATGACGATAAACTCTCATAATGGGATTCATGGTGATGCATCATCTGGATTGAGCTCAACGGATTCCAATGGAGAAGCTTCGACTCATCAAAGTTCTAATTGACTTGGTAAAGTTTGAATGCATAGCGTATTTTACCCTTCTTTTAATGAATATTAGGATGGAAATATAAGCAATTTGTTTTTTGTTTTAAAGAAAGGATGGGATACTACAAGTTACGACCGACTCAATCCTACAAACGTTGATGAATTCTACCCGGTTTTTTACCATATGATTTTCTAAGATAAAAAGAACAAATAATTTATTTTTCCTAAAAAAAAAGATATAAAAGAACAAGGTTGAGAAAGAAAGAGAGTCGGAGTAGGTTTATGTTATGATGCCTGCATGAATAAGATTTTGCTGTGGGGTACATAGTCTGGGTTTTATTTTTTGATTCATGGTCTCTGGGTTTTCACTTGTGGCTGATGGGGACACAATTCAACAAATATCTTATGGATTATTTATTTTATCATTTGAAATTGAAAATAGCTTATGGGTTATTTATTTTATCGTTTTTTGTAAAATAATTTATGGAAATTGTTTTCTTTTTTTTGTTGTTGGGTAAATGTTTTAAAAACTAATAATTATAAATACTAAATAGAATAATAATAATATTTATTATAAATTCTTAAAATCCCTATTGTTTTTACGAGTAGTTAGTATCACTATTTTAAAATTTTAATAATATTTATAATATAAACCATTATTTTAAAATTTTAATATAATTTTTTTTCCTAAAGGTTCTTTCTATATTCAATTAAAAAATATTTATTTATACTGGCAATTTAGGGAATATCGGTTAAGCGAGAAATACTAACAAAAAATATTTATCCAAACAATTGCACTTCTGAAGAATTTGGGTAATCTATGTCAAATATCATTAATTTTTATGTTCGGGACCGAAAATGTCACTGACGTTTTAATTTTGTCAATTTTAGCACGGACGTTTATGTTTCACTTCAACTTTGACACTCCGTCGTTAATTCGTTAACGGCACGATGACATGACATGGACAGGCCGTGACGACGATGACTTGGACGGTTTATTTAAGTTTTTTAGCCCACATAGGATCGTTGTTGGCATTTGATTGGTATTTTGTGTGATATAAATACCTAATTTAACCCTAAATTACCCCATTTGTTTCCTTTCTCCTCTTATTTTCGGCACCAGAAGAAATAGGAAGAAGGAAGAAGCTCGCTGGTGGAAGAAGCAGAATAATGGAGCAATCTTTTGCATATCCAGTCTGTGGGTGTGGATATCCGGCTCAACTGAGGACATCATGGTCCAATGATAATCCCGGGAGAAGATTTTTTGGCTGCAAAAACTATGGGAGTTTGGTTTTACATAGTTGTCGATTTTTCTGCTGGTTTGACCCTCCAATGACTCCACGAGCACACGTTGTTCTTGCGGGATTGTTGAAGAAAATCAAAGCAACAAATTAGGAGGAATAAGAGAATTGTTTGGAGTGTTTTTTTAATTTTAGAGTTTGTATTGGGTTGGTACATAAAACAATGGTGATGGAGATAAAATTTTAGGGTGAAATTTGTGATGATAGTACTTTTGGTTTGTAATGGGACGAAAAATTGAGGGTGAAAATTTTAGGATTAACGGGTTGGTGCTTGTTAGATGGTTTTGTAAAATTAACTGCTGAGTTTTGCTTGTTAAAAAAACTTGGTGATTTGGTGCTTTGATGCTTACAATTTTTTTATCTTTAAAATGTCAAACATGAATGATAAACAAAATAAATTTCATTCAATTAGAGTTGTGGTTGATAATCAACATATGTGTACAAAAACATAAAGTGCACATAAGCACTTAAGTTAAACAATATCAACCTATAAAACCAGCAAAATATGAAACAAAATATCAATGTGAATAAATACATGTGTTCAAAAGACATAGTTCATAAACGTAAGTATTCAATCCAAAATATCAACCCAAGTTTCTAAGTTCTGAAATCATCCACATAAAGTTGGAGAATATCAACCTATAACATCCTTGGTCATTTTGCAAAAACAGTTTGACAGTCTTCTTGGGAAGTCTGGGTTATAGTGCTTAACTGGCTTAATTGTTGGTTGGCAGTCACATCTTCTTGTGAGGGCGACATCTATCTAACTGTCATTACATTTTCTGTTTGGTGGTTGGTTGGATAAAATGTGTGGCCTAGAGTAGGAATAAAGACAAATGGAGGCTCAGCTTGTGATGATGATGGTGCTTGTGATGTTGCAGCTTGTGATGATGATGCTTGTGATGTTGCAGCCTTTGATAGTGGTGTAATCGTTGTTGTAGTTCTTCTCCTAACCTAAAGTCATAAGTATACCAAAATCTCAAAACATAATTGTAATTGTGATATAAGGTTAAAAAAGAATAAGAAATATATACATGTAGTTTTCTCCGGATGTGCCTTGATTCAACCCTTCTTTCGTTGGTTTCCCTTGTTAAGTTGGAATTAGGTCGCCTAGGTGGCATGTTGCCTCTAGGTGGCATGTTGCCTCCAACTATCCCTTTGCATGACCTTTGGTTGTGTCCTGGTTGACCATACTTGGAGCAATACATCATCAAATCTTTCTTGCTCATTGTAGCATGAGAATTTGTAGGCTCATTCGCTTCCTTTCTTCTCTTTTTTTAGGTCTTCCTGGTGGTCTTCTAATTGTTGGTGGTATAACTGGTTCACAAGTGGTGTCAGTTAGCCACTGATTGGGGCCTATCATGGGTTGAATGAAGTGACTATAAATTTCTCGCTGATTGGTTACAAAATAAGAGTTGTGAACATAAGATTCAGGCCTTTGATTATTTAACACCATTACAGAAACAACATGTATGCATGGGATTCCTATCAATGAAAGAAATAAAAGTGGTTAAATTAATAAAGTAAATGAGAACAATATTGTAACATAAGACACTTGATACAAACCAGTGAGATCCCACTTCCTACATGAGCATGAATGATTTTCTAAATCAATAACATGTTGGTTAGATGGTCCAACAGACACTTGATATTTTTCACCTCCTGCGTGTGTAGGCCAACACCTACACATAAAAATGAATCATGAATAAATAACTTAAAGTTATAATTGGAAACAAACTTAACAGTACATACACATTAGTAAGAATAAATAGTTTAACAATACATAGTGGACTGTTGAATTGCAAGTTCAATTTTCTTTTGGATTATTAGACACAAACTTCCGGTGTACATGTTTGCAACTTCATTTTTCTTGGCAATATTTTCCATTATCTTGGTCCTAATCATCTCCATTAAAGTCAAAATTGGTTTATCGCGAGCTTCTAGAATCATCTTGTAACAGAACCAAAAAAATGGCTTAGAATCATATTGTAATATAATCATATTTAAATAATTTTATTCATTTTACCTTGTTAAAACACTCCGACAAATTGCTGAGAAGCATGTCTGATTTACTCCTTGGGGAGAAATGAGATTTAGACCATTGGGCAGGGTCTTTTGCATGCAACCAATCAAAGGCTGGTTTTGATAATGCTTTCAGTTCATCCATTGCATCTTCAAACTCTTTTTTGTAGGTAGCTCTAGATGCCTTCCACAATGCATCCTTTAGGTTCTTCCTTTGAATTGAGCATTATTCTTAAAGTTGGAGTACAAGTGTCTCACACAAGTCCTATGCTCAGCATTAGGTAAAACATATATCATTGCCTCAACGAGACCCTAAAAAACAAGACGCAAAGTATTAGAAAAATTGTTCATAACAGACCGAAATAAATAATTAAAGGGTAAATCAAAATTACCTTTTGCATGTCTGACATAAATGTGATATTATGGGAGGTTTCAATCTCCAAATTAGTTGCCAACAGTAAAAGAACCAAGTCCAAGATGATTCATTTTCACACTCAACAACACATAAGCAATTAGATAGATGATGTCATTACCATCAATACCAACAGCAGCCAAAAGAGTACCTTCATAATAGCTCTTAAGGTGACAACCATCGATGCTAATTATAGGTCTACAACCTTTGAAATCTTCTTTGCATGCTTGTAAACATATGTACATTCTTTCAAACACCATATTATCCAATTTTAGAATGGTTGTGCTTCCAGGATTAAAAGACATCAATTCTCCAAGATAATCATATATCTTTGAGTATTGACCCTTGTGACTCCCAAGGACCATATCAAGAGCTAAGTGCTTAGCTCTCAAGCATTTACTCAATGACACTTTATACACATGATCTTCTAATACATCATGTCTTAAAGTTGTAATTGGGTACTGAGGATTAGCCCTAAATTTTTCAAGATATATTTTAGCCATCCACTTATATGTTGCATTTTTTTTAAAACCCATCAAACAATTATGATCTCCTACATAAGACTTAATCTGCCATGAGGTGTTTGTTTCATCTTTTCGATCAACCCTTGATGCCCAAATATACCACAGACACCCTTCCTTGCAAACAACATGCACCTTAACACTGTCAGTTCTTTTGAATCTAACATCAACCCTATTCTTAATCCCATATTGCCTGACAGCCTCTTTGAACTTCAACTTATCACCAAAAATCATTCCAACTTTAAACTGTGGGTTTTCCATATTAGTTTCATCGTTAAACTCAGGACATCTATGTTTTCCTCGACCATCAGAGTCATGCTCAAAATCAGATTCATTTTTAGTATGCAATGACTCTACGCCATCAGTTTCATTTTCATCATTCAAAGATGCATTAATATTTCCCTCATCTCTATTGTTTAACCATTAAAATTTCTTTCAAAATCTACTCCCACATGTACCTCATGTACAGACCCCTCTTCCTCACTCACATCATTTTCACTGTATTCAAAATCACTTACAGAAGAATCAATGTCATCACAACATATTATGTATCTTCTTCAGAGTTTAACTCAGTCATGAATGTTTCATAAGTTTCATGATTTTCATGCATTTCAGTTATAACAGTTTCATGAGTTTCAGTTGCATTATGATATTTGGTTTCAATGGTTTCGTTCGAGAAGTTTGCTTCATTTTCTTCTAAGTACAAATGAATGTGCCTATTCATGGGCATATCTTCTAACATGCTAATGATATCACAATCTGTTCTTAATGGCTTAACAGTAAATTTATGCCCAGATTGTTTCCAAAACAAATGTCACAAACCAGAATAACCTAACTCTTCCACAATATCATACATTTCAAGCATTGACATACTGTCCATATGACACATATCGATAAAATTTACCTCTTTTCCAGTGTATTTAAAACCAGATGAATTTACCATAAAGCCACCATATTGCATAAATTGTGAAATATTCAGATTCCTTACCTGTCAAAATGCTTAAAAAATCAGTCAGCATTAAAAATTTACTTTACAATACTGGTGGTCCCCTTACACTACTTTTACAACACTGATAGCAAACAAGTACACAAAACCAGTAGATGGGCAAGCATATGACTTGTAAAAACCTAAATTTGGGACCACCATCGATGACAACTTTAGAGCAATTAATCATACATGCAACAAATTTGATACAACAACCACCGACCATAAAAAGGTTTAAAAATAGCCAACATCCACCAATATACATTTATATGGATAAACTATTCATTCAATACAATCATAGGAACCGACATAAAAATCATGTGGGAAAGCAACAACAATCATATTTTAGACTCTTTTGGAATACAACAAATAATTACATTGATATGCACCGGCATAAAACACTGTCAGTTCTTTTGGAATACAACAACTATTCGTTCAATACAGTCATATGCAGCGGAATAAAAATCATGTGGGAAATCAACAACAGAAATAAAACCATATTTCAAAAACAGAAATAAAAGTCATAACACTGTCAGTTCTTTTAGACTCTTTTGGAATACAACAACAAAATAAAACCATATTTAAGTTACATAATTAACGAAGAAAACAAAAAATAGTTAGAGATAGAGTGTTTTTATATTAAAAAAACCCTAAAAGTATTTCAAAAAATCCCTAAAAGTATTTTTAAAAAAATTAAAAAAAAAAGTCAGTGGCTTTTCAAACGCCATTATCGTATTTCATGCTCGCTATTCCTTTCGATCGCAAGAATTGTTTCTCCATTTTGCTTTTGCAGTCACAGATGAAATGAAGGAAATCTTTTTTTCAGTCAGAGAGAATTCTTAGACTCTTCTGGAATACAAATGAACGAAATCCACGAAAACTTCTGGTTCATTCATCTGATGGGTTGTATTTGGGAAACAAACGCAAAGTTTTTTTTTTTGGAATACTAATGAATTCTTTAATGGGTTTCGGGAATAATAAAACACAAAACTATAAAATTACACCGTTTTAGGAATACAAATAGTCATTGGCAAGACTACGTTGTTTTAATAAACCGTCCATGTCATCGCCGTCACGGCCCGTCCATGCTATGTCATCGTGCCGTTAACGGATTAACGACAGAGTGGCAAAATTGAAGTGAAATATAAACGTCCGTGCTAAAATTGACAAATTAAACGTCAGTGACATTTTCGATCCCGAACATAAAGATTAGTGGTATTTGACATAGGTTACCAAAGAATTTTTATTTTGCAAAGAAATAAAGAAGTATTTAAAATTAGATTGTAAAATACTTTGTAAAACCCTTTAAAAATACAAAAAGAATATGGACAAAAAATATATTATATCGTTGATTTATTAGGTAATTTATGCGTTTAGTACTTCAATTATTATTTTTTATTTCATTATACTATTTAAATTTTATTTTTTTCATATCATATCTATCGTTTAATTTATGATTTAATTCGATAACTCGTCGTTAAAAATTAATAGAACTATTGGTGTGATATTTTTTTTATTTTTAATGATTACGTTACATTATTTTGATACGTCAACATTACTATCACACGTCGGCCAATCTTAATAGCCGAATTAGCATCGATTGAATGACAAACTGACGTAGTGGTCGAAAAAGCTGTGAATAGGGTTTCAGTCCCCCCCCCCCCGGCAAGGACCTTCTAATTCCCAAGCTGGAAAGACCCAGTTGCTTATTATAGGATAGGATGCACTTCTCAATCAGTGAAAGGAAAGAGCGAGATCTCCTTTCCTGTAGGCTTCTCCTGTGCTTAGTTCACCTAGCAGGGAAAGAAGCGGAGCCGTGCAAGTAAGATCGTGAGCGTGAACAGAGGTTATCAAGAGTTAGCTTGGGAACATGACAAGCCCTTAGCCTTTGTTGGAAGCTAAACCAAATCTAAGCTTGTAGGCTCTTAGAGAAAGCTATTGTGCAGGTATACCCTACTAAAATAAAATACAAATTAAACATCATGATTTTAAAAAATAAATTATATAAAAATAAATTAAAAAAAATAAAGTATATACTTTTATAAAATAAATTACGTAAAACAAACATACCATCAGTTAAAATTTTTAAATAGATTAATGATTCTTTCCAGATCGTAGGACAAAGTTTTTTCTTCGGCCCAATAGTTAAGAATATTTTTTTTTCTTTTTAAGTATTTAAATCATTATTTGGTTAAAGTAAGTATCTAAAAGTTATATTTTTAGTCAAAATAGGTGCCTAAAATATTATTTAGTCAAAATAGGTACTTAAAATATTCAATTTTTTTATCTAAGTATCTAAAGTATTCTTTCAATATTTTTTTAACATTTAATCTTAAAAAATATCAATTTAATCATAGAATTCATACATCCACCCACAAGATTTCATTTCTTTTTATATGAATAAAGTATTATATTAATTCAAATTTCAAGATATGATATAATAATGCAAATATTTATGATGGAACCGTACATCTTATACAATAATTCAAATTGTATGCATATTTTATGATGAAAGTGTACATCTTGTTTTTAACATTAATCATATTAGCATGGTCAATGTTATTATTGATAAAAAAAATTGAAGGAAAATAAAAAAGGGTGTCACATCAACAAATTATAAGAAATAAAAAAATTAATTAAGAAATAAGTGAAGACTTTGATAATTCATTAGTTTAGTATTCTAAATTCACATGGATAATGCATATATATAATTTTTAATGGTCAGCAAAACATGGACCGGTCATATGAGGTATTCTGTAGTTGACAATTTCATGAAACATATGATCCCTAGGTGGCTTCTTATTCGTTATTGGATTTCATAAATGACTCGTAAATTTATTTATTTTTATAATTTTTCTCATTTATTATTATTAATTTTACGGTAAAAGGGTAATTTTTTTACTATGTATTTATCATTTTTGCCCGTATTTTCACATTAATTTAATCCTCAAAGTTACTCAATTACATCATTCTATATCATACTCCTAACTTAAAACTCTAAATTATGAATCCTAAACCATAACTCAGTTACCTTTAAACCCTAAACATTAACTTGTGATTTATAATTTAAAACTTTAAGTTAAAAGATTATATAGAATGATAAATTTGATCGGTCAAAGATAACCTTTAAACTTAGTTTTAATTATTTACTTTTCATCATCCAACTATTGAAAAAGTAATATAAAAGTAAATAATGGTTATTCTTGATTAATTAATAATAATAATAATAGTAATATAGTCAAACCTTGGATGCGTCCCCTACTTTGAGACGATGGCATTGACTTTGGTGCCTCAAAAGCAGCATTTGCAGAGCCTAAAGTTACAATATTCACGAACAATGGCGAGTTTATCAGTAGATGCCAAAGATCAACAGCACAAGGAAGAATCAAAAGAATCCAAGATGATACAAGTGAGCAATGATCAAGAAGATCACAAAGCAGCTGCTGCTGCTGATGGTATCATTGCCTAGCTTGCAAGCAAACGACAACACTAAAGAGGTAGCTACTCTTTAACTATCATCACCTTAGTTGCAGATATTGAGATTCGAATCTAATTTAAATCGAATTCGAATCCGGGTTTTTGCAACGATGGCTTTTGCAATCTTAAATCACATATTTTATGGTAATTGTTTATCTGCAAATGGAGATAAATCGCATGAAAGAAGAGAACAAAGTGTTGAGGAAAGAGATGGAGAAAAATTTGCAGGATTACAACCATCTCCAGATGAAGCTTGCTCTTATTCAGCAAAACAACCCAATGAAGGTGCATATGTATTAGTTTAATTTCTTTTTTTTTTTGGTTATCTTGATTCTCGAGTTTCTGAATTTGTTTGATGTTTAGGATCCTCGAATCTTCCTCTCACTACTTAATGGAAATGAAGGTTTAGTTCAAGAACAACAGCAAGGAATTGAAAGAGACTTAAATACTGTCAACAACCCAAGACATGGGTCACCATCAGCAGGTGACAGTGACGATAAAGATGGTCATGGACTGGGATTGTCGTTAACTCTGAAAACCAGAACAAGCCAACGAGAAATTCGAGAAGAAGAGCGTAATAAGAAACTCAAGAAACCCCGAATGATGAATCGCTGCAGAAGAAGCTTTCATCTGCAATCACAAGCCATGCTGTTTCCACATCCAACAGGAAAGCTAGGGTTTCCGTTAGAGCAAGATGTCAAACAGCTACAGTATGTTCAATATAACATGTATGTATATGTGTGTATACATAATTCGGGTTGATCTTAGATATGGTTCTCTAAAATTTCTTCAAGTTACACAATCATTATACTTGATACCTGCATTCAGTTGGAGTAACAAAACATTCTTCAACTTCTAGGTTGCTGAGACCAGATCAAAGTTTTTTTTTCTTTTTCTGAAGGTTGAGACCAGTTCAAAGTTAAAAATTGCTTCTGGTACAATATTTGCAGATGAACGATGGGTGTCAATGGAGGAAATATGTCCAGAAATTTGCAAAAGGAAATCCTTGCCCACGAGCTTACTATCATTGCACGGTAGCTCCCGGATGCCCGGTCAGGAAACAAGTATATATAGTGTCAATTTAAAGACGAAAGTAAGATTTTATATCATTAAAAATAATAAAAATATCTAAATTATACGAAAATTTAAAATATACCGAGGTAACTGTCCCCGTTGGTCTCCTCCATCCATCGTTGAATCTCATAGAATCATTCATTTCTTAATAAATACACACTATTCTTATGCCACAACACTTTAAATTTCCGTCTCTTTTGCGACTTGGGTGCAACGATGCCTTGACGACATGTCGATTCTTATTACAACATACGAAGGAACACACAATCATCCGATCCCTGTTGGTGCAACCGCCATGGCATCGACAGCTTCCTCGTCAGCTTTACCAGCTTCGAACTTCATGTTACTGGTTTCGAGCCATGGTATCCCAAACCCTCACCTCATGAACTCATCGGCTGCCGCCATGAACGTAAACGACCCTTCAAAAGGAATGGTTCTTAGCCTCACAAACAATCACCGTTTCGATAATCAAATATTGCCCTCGGTTCCGTTAGCTCATCAACAAGCTTTCCCGCGGCTGCCGAGCAGATAAAAACCACCACAGTGGCAGGGAATGCAAATCATCTGAAGAAGAAGAAAAGTCAATATTAGCTGAAAATGTTAAAGAATGTTTACATTTGGTTAGAACTTGTATTGAAAGATTTCTTTGATCTTATTGAGAATTCATACGTTATACTCTTCTTGCCTGTGAAAAAAAATCATATATTATACCATTGACATAGTTGTTAACTGTATGAATTTGTATGAATTTATACGTTAATACTTAATAGTACTACATCAAATACAAACCCTTAGTTATATTTATATTGTATTATATATATACATACTATTCTACAAGCAAAAATATCATTTACAAGATAGAATTGAATTCATGTATATATAATTTAAAACAAAGCCATAGCCCTGTACACCAAAACCAGAATATATTTATTTGCTTAGTTTAGTAGGAAAGACTATGAGATGAAAGGAATAAAAATAATGGGAATTTATAGGTCTTAGAACTCTGAGGTGGCGTTTGATTTGCAGGAATCCCTTGCAATTAGGAGGAATTGTAATCTAATTCCACCACTTTCCCATGTTTGGTTCAAGTTTTCAAAGGGAGAATTGGAATCCAATTCCATCAAGGGAGGGAAAGTAAATTACATCCATAACATGATGAAATTGAAATCCTTTGGAGGAGAGAATGTGAAATTTGATCATACTACCCTCATCAATCTTTAAGAATTCGGGTCGGATTTTTTCAAAAAAAATCGGCGTCGGGTCAGGTTTTTTTAAGTTTGATATTCGGGTCGGGTTTTTTAAGTGTGCTATTCGGGTCGGGTCATTTTTTTAATTCGGGATCGGGTCGGATTTAAAAAAAATCGAGTTCGGGTCGGGTTCGGGTTTAGGGTGAAAATACCCGACCCGAAAAAATTATATAATTTTACCTTATATATTTAGGAATAATTACAATAATACCCCTATATATATATATTTTAATTAAGTCACTGTTTTTATTGAATAAAAATATTTTTTTTATTTCGGGTCGAGTCGGGTCGGTTTCTAATTCATATATTCGGGTCGGGTCGAGTGAAACTTTATTTTGGTCGGGTCGGGTCTCGGGTGGAGGTTTCCTTGTTTTCGGGTCGGGTCGGGTGGACCAAAAACCCGACCCAACCCGACCGATGATCATCCCTAATTGGGATGATTTTAACTTATGATATTTATTAGTATGATTTTTATAATTTATTGAAATGAATAATCAATCAATAAAATGAAAATTTAATATTTTTTAAAATTTTATAATATATTGCTACATGTATGTTATAAAACAAACTAAAATTAAGCAAAAAAACAAGAAGGACAATTCTGTCATTTTACATTACTGAAATCAAATTAATCTGACATGTCTGCGAACCAAACAGAATATGGAATTAGATTCCAATTCAATTTCCTACAAACCAAACATGTTTTAGATTCAGATTCCAATTCCTTCAGATTCTAATTCCTTCATAGATTTTAATTCTCTCAGAAACATTCCAGAGAACCAAACGTCACCTGAGTGCTAAATGCAGTTGTTTTGGATATACTTGGAGAAAGCTGCGAAACATATGAAAAAGTGAGTAGACCAAAAGTATTGTTTTTCAAGTTTCTTGGTTTGAGCCAATAATCACTTTTCAAAATCCAATAAGAAATCTTCAGTCAAGCAAATTCCTACATGTATCTAGTTCCCGTTCAAATCCAATCAGTTTCATGACTTTCGTGTAACTCGACGAAGCTTTGAGATGGGATGCACAACCATGTGATGGTAGGAGATAAAAAAAAACATCATGTGTTGATGGCCCTATTAGTTTTTGCTATTGGCTCATGAAGTTATTCAATATTCAAAGCCAGTTTGCTTAAAAATCAACAAACAAGCCATTGTTTATCTGCATGGCTTTGATTGAAATAAGTATCTGATGAGCAACGGTAAGGAACTGAGCACCGCTCTCTCCGCATCCTTAGCTGATCCGGGCTTCATTTTAGAACAGAACTTGAAATTTTGGGTGCATCATAAAGCCCAAGAAACTTAACTTCCTCACTTTGAAAGAGCTGAAACGTGGGAAAAAAGAATTAAATAGCGTCGCCCGGACTCGAACTGGAGACCTTCAGTGTGTTAGACTGACGTGATAACCAACTACACCACGACACCTTTGGGATTTGGACTTCGGTAAATATAATTTTGGTAAAACAAATTGTACTGCTATATTACGTGGTACAAAGTTCATATATATTATTTGCTAAATTAGTTTTAGCTAAATTTATTTTTAATAATAATAAAAAATTATAGAAGTTAATAAAGTCCGCTGTATATTTACTTTTGAGTGTCTAACATTATATATTTATTAGTCCACAAACAAACACCGTCTGTTAATGTGCGTAAGTATAGGCTCATCACAATCTCATTCAGATATTCCAATGGAAGCACAAAGCGCTTCTCATCAGAGCTATACACCGCAAAGTCACCCTTCTAGGCCTTTGAGGATGTGCTGCAATTGTTTATGAACATTCCCACTGGTTCTGTACGTATTACCTAACAAGAATGAAATGTGGTTTTAGTTTACTAAAACCCTGGATTGATGAGTTTTCCTAATTTATGAAACAAGATTTATCTGTAAATGGCTCCAAGAGATCCCTAGCAGTGAGGTTCCGGTTGCTTTCATACTTAACGTACTGAAGATTTTGAATTGTAGGGTCGAACATGGTAGCATTTTACTTCAACACAATGAACAGAGGATTCATGTATATTATTTGACATGATGAGTTTGTCTTTTGTAGTATGAATTTGTTGATGTAATATTGTGGATAACAAGTTTGTTTCCTGTCTAGGTTCAAGAGAGACTATGCATGAGAAACAAATTATGTTTTGCATTATAAACTTTAATCTTCCAAAGTGTGGTTTGGCTACAAGATGAAAAAAGAAAATTGCTTCAGAAGTTGTATATCGGAAATTGTTGGATCATTACCAGTGGCTACAGACAAGATCAACGCTTTCTCCACTTCTCTACTCGCTTTCCTTTCGATAATAGCAATTACGTATTCCATTAAGTTTGCATTGCATGGCAATATGAGAACGTCATCGCCTGGTGGTACGAACTCTTCTTCTGTCAAGTTGAATAATTCCATCACAATTTTGTTCTTTAGATATTCCAAGGGAAGCACAAAGCGCTTCTGGTCCACACTGTATACCCCTTTTCGACCCCCGTTGATGTTCTGCAACTGTTTGTTTCATCATCCATGGTGGTTACTTTTTGTCCTGATTGCAGCCTGCCATTGCAGCCATTTTTGCATTTTCATTTTTAGGTCTTCTATTGCTAAATGCAGCTGTTGTGCATAATATGAAGCCATGGAATTGTGATGAACATATAGTCACAAGGTCAAAGACAATCCCTTGAATAATTAGAATTCAGGTATTCATGGGAAACAAAGCCATGTGATGGCAGATATGAGGGCTAATATGCAAAGGGGCGTACCTGCTTTTACGTTGAGCATAGAAGTGCATGTAGACACATCTTTATCTAAGTGCTTAACGTTATCATTATCAGAGATTAGATCATATTAACTTCTAAAGATGTAATAATTGATGCACGATAAATGTCATGACATTCCAAGAGCTGCTGCTGATCCGGGCTTCATTTTAGAACTGAACCTGAAATTTTCGGTTTATCATAAAGAAGGAACTTAACTTCCTGAAATTGAAAGAGTCGAACACAGGTAACCAATAACTGAAAATGAAGCATCTTTTGGTCAGAATAGGGACGGGCATGGGACCCGAAGCATACGGGTTCGACTTAACCCGACCGGAAAAATATTATTTTATATATATATATTTAGGGATAATTACAATAATATCCCTCTATATATTATTTTTTCCATTAAATCCTATTTTATTAAATAAAAATAATATTTTTTATTATTTCGGGTTAGGTCGGATTGGGTGGAGGGTATAAAATTTTCTAGTTGGGTCGGGTTGGCCAAAACCTGACCCGTGCCCATCCCCAAGTCAGAACCATTTTATAAGGAAACATCTTTTGGTAATAAACTATGAATATGATACATTTGAATAATTTACACCTATAAGCATAAGTTGTTTTTATGTAGCAGATTCATTTACCAGATGACTGTGCTTATTTACTTAGGATCAACAAAAGAATTGGCTGTTGATCCGCATGTAGTTGATTGAAGTATCTGATGAGCAGCGACATCTAAATAAAGATCGTGACCAAAAACTGGAAACTGCGCATTTCATGTGATTCTCAATATATATTGTACGGCTGATGTTTTGCAAGGATTCAGAGCAGAAATTTGTTTTTCCCCTATGTTCCCAAGTTGTAGTTTCTGCTGTCCCTGATAACAGGAAATCCCAACATCAAAAGAAGTAAAAAGTGTCTGTATTCAGAAACGTGAAAATTAAAAAAATTAAAAATTGGCGTCGCCCGGACTTGAACCGGAGACCTTCAGTGTGTTAGACTGACGTGATAACCAACTACACCACGACACCATTGCGTTTTGCATTTGGTCCATATTTTATAAATATAATAAAAACTTGTAACTGTATATTATTTAACATGACGATTTTTTTAAAACATGACGATTTTTTTTTAGTATGAATTTGTTGATTTAATATTGTGGATAAGAAGTAAGTTTCCTGTGTAGGTTCAAGAGAGACTACGCATGAGAAACAAAAACTGTGATGTTTTGCATTATAAACTTTAATCTTCTAAAGTGTGGATTGTATATTGGAAATTGTTGGCTCATTTCTTGCTGATAAAGATATGACGATGAACAATGACCAGCGGCTACAGAAAGGATCAATGCTTTCTCCACTTCTTTACTCGATTTCCTTTTGATGATAGCAATTGCATATTTCATAAAGTTTCATAGCAAGGGAAGATGAGAACCCCATCGCCTGGTAGTCCAAACTCTTCCTCTGCCAAGTTGAATAGCTCCATCACAATTTTATTCTTTAGATATCCCAAAGGAAGCACAAAGCACTTCTGATCCACACTGTAT